AAAGGGGGGGACAGGGATTTTTTTTCTTAGAATTATTCACATCATATATAAATCGACTCAGTTTTTGCAGTACACATAACAATCGGATGCGAATCCGATGTTTCCTCATTTATTTTTAAATAATACAGCAATACTCTTCAATGAGATGGAATTAATGGTAATCGTCTAGTAAACCTTGTTCATGAGTATGTATCGAATGTGAAAATTTTAATTCTACGATGTAGATATGTTTGTGTAAGAAAAAATATCATGCTATTGGTTTCGAACAAAGAACGTAAAAAATGAAGGGTTCACAATGACTGAATTTTATCACAAGAACGATGAGTCGTCTAATCCTTAAACGCTAGATAAGTGTAACTCGATACACACGACTCGATTAACTTTATTTTCAAAATGGCGGATTAGCTACTTCTGTAAAAACAAAGACGAACAATAACAGCATACTTTGATAACAAGAGCGAGCACCAAAAAAATAAAGATCTCTTGCCAAGATGAATCCACACAACAGTAATATACGTCATGTATTGATCGTAAAATTTGTAGGCGACATTTTACGATGTGCATATTCATTATGTTCTTTCGAAGACATATAGATAGTTAATCCTATTTGTTTAAGATATCAACGTATGTATTGAACTTATAGTTCAAATATTTATCTATGAATTCTTGGTCATGTTCTCTATGCACATATAAAAATTAGGTTACTGGTCTATACTGCTACTCGGCGCTCACCACCCCCTGAAATTAGACGGGACAACGAAAAATATTTTTAAAGGCTTAAATAATATTAGAAGGTCGAAAATAAAATGAATAACCGAAGGGAATCGGAAAGCTATAATTGATTGTCCCCATCTTGAATATTACGTAAGTAGTAGATCAAAAACTATAAATCGCTCTTGTTCGTTTTCAGCTTCATTTCTGTCTTTTTTAAGCTGCTACCCAAAATGTTTCTGCGATTCTTATATTCACCAAATCATATCTTTCAATAAGAAAATAAACCACAAGATGTTGACGTCAAACGTTCGAAAGCTGTTTTAGTTTAATAATAAAAGCTCCACAAAAAAATCATGAAAATAAATAATTAGAAAAATCTGGTTAATTGTAACTAATTTACATCGATGAATTCACTAAGTTCAGTCGTCGATTAGTTTTTAGATTTGATTGGGCAACTTTCTGTCTAAAAAAGTTGCTTTTTCCATGAAATTATAGATATATTGCGCAAAAATTAAATAAGCAATGGAAAGAAAACTGTAGTACTCTGATTTATATATTTTCGAAAAAAAGTTCTCTTTGTCGTATTATATAATTTAGAAAGCACCGCCCCCTCTAAAGATTCTTGGATCCGCCGCTGATTTGAACCAAAAGTAAAATAGCTTCAATCAAATGCATACAGCTACTGATGATAGTGCTTGAAACTCAAGTTCATTTCTGCTTCAGAGATTCAAAGAAAATAGCTAAATTATGGAAGAAATTTTGAAAAACAAAATTCTCTATATCTCTTTGATCTTCGTCTCTAGCGAACACGCGTACAGTCGTCCAGTTTTATAGACTGTATCGACATCTATGCAGCAGAAACTTTCATTAGCTGTATGCCAGATTTGAATCAGCGAATTGATTCTCTACTTCTTCATCTTTTTGCTGCGTTCTTTGTCAGTCTCATTTTTTATCTCGCGTCTTGTGACTCATCATCACACTGTATCGTTAAAAAAAGTGTCAGCTGATATAATTCATTTTTTTGCTTTTATCATCCGATGATTTTTCATCTGTTTATATATTAACTTGCATTCTTCTACTATTCATAACACATTTCAGAAATTTTATTTTTTGTTTCTGTTTGTATTATAAATAACTACGTGAATGTCCTATGTATCATCGCTGGAATTAAGAAAAGTTCGTCCTGAAGCAGTCAAGTATATTAAATATTTACATACGACTTCATTTTAAACATATTTTGCATTGTAGTGAAAAAAGTGTGATCGAATCCGTTGTTGATCTATTCCATGATGTAGTAGAAAAAGTTCCTCAAGTAAATATTATTACTATACGATATAAAACCATGCAATCTACTTATTTACCCAGGCATATTCCATATCATCTCGTTCGACGAATACTGATCAATATGAAACAATAGAATGGACACGTTTTCTTTCCAATGCACACGAATGGCATTCAACAATACGACTCGATACACTGACGTTACTAATTGCTTATAAAAGTGGTTTATCATTATGGACGATTGACACTAACGGTATTGCAAATGAATTATTTTCAATTCGTGAACATAATTTAAGTTCTGCATGTTTACTGATATCAAATATTTATCCCGAAGACTCCTATTTCGCTCAACGTCCTTTAATTGCATTCGCTAAATCAGCGGGACCTCCGTCCATACAGATACGTTCACTAAAAAGTGATCATGATCCAGTGAAAATTATTCATCTGCCTGGTATTGGCTCACAAAGTGAACCAATATGGATTGAATCGAATAAATCTGTATTTGTTTGTGCGACACATACATTCATTATTGGTTATGACATCGTGAAATTCGAGGAAAAATTTTTTATATCGAATTGTTATTCATCAATACCTTTTGCTTTGTCAACACGATGGTTAGCGTTTGTTGATATTCGTCTTTATTTAGTTCATCAATCATCAGGCGGAATAAATGCTGCAATATTTGATCAATATGCATCCTACACAGGTACAATGTTAAATGCAGCTAAATCATTATCAAAAAGTGTCGTAAAAATTGGTGAAAGTTTTCTTGGATACAGCAGCATGGGGTTACAATCGAATAATTCAAATATGAATGATAAAACAGTATCACACCAGCAGCAATCATCATCGATGGCAGTCAATAATGGAAATTCAAATTCAAATTCAACGCGAATTCGACGAGGATCAACAAAAGATGAATTACACGAAGGTGTCGTAACCATTGTTGATACAATTAAATTGTTTGGTGTAAGATAACATTAGTATAGTTAAAAGTTTTGATTGTATAATATGTTTGTTTTCAGGCATCCGTCCATGACGAAAAACAAAATTGGATCATTGCTCATTTTCAAGCTCATACAAATCCTGTGGGCCATTTACAATTCAATCCTAGCGGAGATTTACTTGTAACATGTGATGATCGTGGACATTATTTTAATGTATTGGAAGTACGAGCATCGCCTTATCGTTGTACTCGAACGTACATTCAACATTTGTATACTTTATTTCGTGGTGATACTGATTGCAAAGGTAACACATAGATTAGATACATAAAAGTAAGAATAAGACGGAATTTGTCTGTCTATTTAGTTTCTCATATGACGTTTACTACCGATAGTCGATGGCTTACTGTATCAACCAAACGTGGCACAACCCATCTGTTTGCCATTAATCCATATGGAGGTAAAAATCTTGTGAAATTGTTCATAGAGCCCTCCGAATAGCTGGCACATTTGTAGGCCTTACATAATTTTCTTTATATCTATGATCACCTCTTGAGATAAAGAAGATTTAGAAGATACACTCTTGAAATTGCATATTTCAAGATAAAAATATATTTCGTTTTTATTCTTCTCAGGTGTTGTCAATGTTCGTACCCACACAAACGCTCATGTCGTAAATAGAGTCAGTCGTTACCATCGTACTGCTGGTCTTGATGAGCAACCAATGCGTCAAACAAATAATATGAACAACCATGACAATGGATTTAAAAATTCACCGTCAAGTCCGTTAATTAATTCATCAGCCAATATAATTAATGGACATAATAATCATTTTTCGAATATGTCCCGTTCAAAACGGGGCAGCAGCGAATGTATATTTTCAACAGCTGTAACTTTAATTCGTCAGCCAACGGAGAACTTCGTTAGTGGTCTTAGTGCACCGTTTAACATCGATTCATTATGTTTGGCAGCTACATTTGGAGTTTCACGAGGTTTTCTTAATCCAGAAGATATTATCAATCATCCAGAATATACATTAAGAGCGTGTAATTCATTGTTTATAATTAGTTGGCACGGTCGTTTAATTGAATACGTTCTTGATCCAAAACCTGGTAAAGCAACGTCTTGAACAATTGTACCATTTATTGATTTCTTTCAGATACAACTAAACATGGTACACGTGTTACATCAGAAACTCCGCTTGCACTAACAGCGTCTCCAAAAGCACAATGGCAACTTCAAAAGTAAGTGTTTGAAAATCAATTCCCTGCGTAATTCTTTAGTTATCATTTGTTTAGATTGGTGACTTGGCCAGAAGTTCGTATGTCTGTTGGCTATTCATTTCTATCTCAAGGACATCGGCCAACATCTGGAACTAAGGTTCATTCAAAAGATGATTGGCTTCGTCAAGTAACAATCTTGTACATACAAAGAAGAAGAACTTAATGTTGTTTTCTAGGTTGACATGAATACACATATCGGTCCCCATCGTCGTTTATGGATGGGTCCACAATTTCAATTTAAACATTATTCTGAAGCAACAGTGAGTATGTGCCATCCAAATTCAAATGTATTTACAGCTGATGTACCACAGACATCGATGAATATAGTTGATGCTGATCTGAATAGTTTACCGTAAATAGTTGTTGTTTAATCGTAGGATAAAAAATATAGTATTGAGAAATTCTAGAATGCAATGGTCAAAATCTATACCTGTTTATGTACCAAATTTGCATTCGGATATTTCACCAGCTTATATCGAAGTTGGTTCAGGCAGCTTTCAGGTAGGAATAATTTAGCGTAGTTTTTCTTTAAGAAATATTCGTTGATTTGTAATTGTAGGATGGTCCATCTTTGAATATATATGGAAGTTCATTGGATAGTTTAAAGTCGGATTTTGAAATCGAACTTGTTGAAAAACTAGCTGATGCAGCAATTGATATACCATTAAAACACGGTTTGTAAATTTTTGAAAGAATATTTTGAAGGCATCATTCACTATTTTAGCTGGTAATAGTGATACAGGTGATTCATTAAGTTCATCAACTTGCAGTAGTACAGTTGTACGGTCATTACCAGCGAACAATTCAATGGATAATATGATTCAATTTCCTGATGTGACTGATTCGACAGATTGATTTTTGTTTTGATAAATATATATATATACATATCTAACATATTTTGACCTCAGGCTATTAATTTTTTTGTCATTGAATTCCAATGCTTTTTTGATTCTTAAAAATCGTAACTGTATGTATATGTATATAAATTTCACCCCGGTTTGATGCATGTATGATATCTAGTCTATTTATCTAAATTTGTATTCGGACTTATTGTATACTGACTGCCAGAAGATCGATTTTCGTGAACAGTGAAAAGATATTCGATTGAAGTATTTGTTGCGATCTTTAGTCATTCGTTTAACGATTCAATTATTCATTTCTTTTTGTATATATACGACTTCCTTATTTTCGGTTTGTATATCTACATATATATATATATATATATATGTGTGTGTTATATGAACTATTAACTTTTTCTTGCTTTTTTGATTATTCTAAATAAAAAAAAGAGAGCACAATATTCGACCAAATAAGTTTTTATACTAAAATCTATTGTAATTCTAATGTCGACTTTGATTTTGCGTAATGGAAGAAGAACAGAAAATAGAAAATCAAACAAACATTCTCAAGACTCCAACTTCCATCAATCGAAAATTATTGTATTGCTTAATAAAGATATGGGTAGGGATGTGACAATACTAATACCAATACCATTTGGTATTGGTGGATATTGGTACTGGTATCGATAGCAGGTGGATGCAGAAAAGAGATATTTCTGCATTTCCGGATAATATCCAAATTTCGAAAATGTGCTGCAGTCAAGGGGGAAAAAGTGGCTCCTGGCTCCTTGGATTCTCGCGGCTCCTCATGGATTCTGGCGGATTCTATGGATCCTAGTGGATTCTGGCGGATTCTGTGGATCCTACTGGATTCTACGGGATTCTACTGGATTCTACTG